AAAAAGAACGAAGGTAGCAGAGCTCGAGTTTAGCAGCTCCATTACCACGCAAGCAAAAGTAGCACAAAGTCCCCATTTCTTGTCCCTTGTATAGTGTAGTGATGGTAGTTCGAGGTCCGTGACCTCGGACCTCAGACATCGGACGGTCTGGGACATGACCTAGTCACCTCAGACATTGTATGAGGCACGATGAGCTCAATTGAGTTCGACCTCGTCCCTTTTGCTCTCACTCTACAGTAGCTCCGTACATACACAGATTTCTTATGAGAGATATCTACGATGATTGACACACATGACCCTGGTTTTCCTCAAAGATCAACACGTGGACACCTCCTTGAAGGCTATAAATACCCCCCAAGGGTCCTCTCCAAAGGGTAATTGAAACCGAACTCGAGCTTAACTCTTACTTCATATCTGGTAGCTCTGATTATTGCTGACTTAGGCATCGGAGTGTCTACCCCGAGGGCCAACCTCGGGGCTTTGCAGGTTGGCCGAAGTGAAGATCCGAGCTTGGGAGCACTTCGGAGTTCTTTGCAACTACAAATTTTGGGATGAAGAAGCCAGAGAATAGATTGAAGAGTGCATAGAAAGCTGCTGCAAATATGGGTGCCACTTGGTGGCTTGGTGTGATGGAAATGGCCATCATTCCTTAGTATAAAGGAAGGAGAAAAAGCTGATGAAGAAGAACCAGAAAAACTTAACTATAGTCCATTGAAATCCCACCATAGCATACACAATGAGGGTGTAGTATGTGGTTTGTACAAACACATAAGGGTATCTCAATAATCACTGCATGTAAAAAGTAAAATGAATCAATACTAATTAAGATGAAACCAAGGAGGTATATGCAAGAATATGCCTTTCTTTTCACCTGTGCAAGTGCATAAGGTAGCACAGAACACATTCTGGCTGCCGTTTCACAATAAAACACTGAGGAATAAGACGCCAACATACATAGGCAAAAACCATTGATTCGCTCCTAAATTTTATAAATTTGACCTTTGATTTTCTCAAATTATAACTTTAAATCTTGAATTGTACAAATTTTAAAAAAAGTCACGTGCCTCACGTGTGCCTATCCCTCCATCTAAACTCACCATGTCATGCAGCACATCTGAGATTACCAAATTTTTACACATCTGACATTACTTGACATTACCTCCTCTTTCATCTTTCTCTCTCCTTCCTCCTCCTTTTTTCTCCCTATTCGCCATCTCTTCTCGGCTTCTCTCCAGAACCTGTCTGGGTCTTGGGTTTCCTCAAACTCGACAAGATCTCTAAAGGCTTAATTAACTGAAAAAAGAAACACATGGAATTGACCAACACTAAGTTCTTCTCCGATTGCAACTCTATTCTCCACATCGATGCTTGAAATTGTCCACAGTTGAATCTAGGTATTGGGTTTTATGGAAAACCCACGTCGGATTCTCATAGGAGAATCCAATACAATATGGGTATTGGAGAACCCAGATCTGGATTCCTTGAGGAACCTAGATCTGGGTTTCTCAAAGGAACCAGGTATGAAACAGGCACGCCCCTAGCGATGTCGTTTGTTCCATCGTCCACTGCTTCGACGAGCCCCAAACCTACAAGAACTTCATCAAAAGCTGCACCGTCATGGTTCCTTTGAGAATCCACATGAACCCACATCTGATTCCATGGAGAACCAAAATCTAGGTTCTCAAAGGATCCCACATCCTTGTTAAATTAAAAAAAAAAGAAAAAAAAGAGATGAAGACTGAGGAGAAAGAAGAGAGGAAGAAAGAAAAAAATGAAGAAAAAAGAAGGAACTGAAATGGTAAGTACGAAGATGGAAGGAGGACAGTGGATTTTATTTTATTTTTTCTTAAAATTAAATATTTAATTAATTTAATGGGTTTGATAGAAAAAATAATGAGAAGAAAAATATAAAAACATATTAATTTTTTTTAATTTCACTGTATTTATTTATAGGTCTATATTAAAAAATATTTTATGGTATAAAATTAATTAATTTAATTATATTAATTAATTATAATATGAATCTAATTAACATAATTATAATATAAATATTTTGTAATATTCCCTCAAAATTAAGGTGATGATTAAGACATTAGTTTGAGTTTGAAAAGAAGAGTGCGGAGACATCCAAAAAAATGAGTTTTTGGGTAAAAAGATTTGCATATTGAATATACATATCGATACAGTTAACAACGCTAGTGAAGAAAGAGGTAATATCATATATAGGCAACAACAATGTCAAAAGTTTAATTGTGAGAAATCAAGAGCAAAATCAACGATAAGAAATTAAAAGCAAAATCAGTAGCAATTAAATGTGAGAAGACTGGAGCAACACTAGTTGTGGAAATAACATGTATTATCGGTACAACAAAGAAACATGATCAAGAAAACCCAATTGCAAATAAGTCCAAGAAAAAAAGCAAAGATGATGATGATAGGCATCACTTACGAGCAAAGCAGCAACTCACAAAAGGAGGTAAACAATAATAATAAAATAAGCCTCAAGGTTATGATAACATGATAGAAAAAAAAATAATAATAAAATATATTTTTTTAATTTTATTGAATATATAACGTGCTTATTTATTGACTTGTATAAGAGAATATTTTATTATATAAAATCAATTAATTTAATTATATCAATCAATTATAGTGTAAATCTAATTAACATAATTATAATATAAATATTATGTAAAAGGTCAAAGATTGCCACAGTGACTTAAACGGGCTTATTTTCGTCGAAAAACATCCACCATGGCTGCCTGGGTGGATAAAACTGCTATGTGTTGTGTGACATGTTGCGTTTGGATGGCCGTGTAATTGTCACGGAAGGCACGGAAACTCCTGCGGCTTAAGAGTTTAAAGTTATGAAGTTATAGTTTGGGGAAATTTAAGGTCAAACTTATAAAGTTTAGGGGTGAATCAGTGATTTTTGCCGGGATGCATGGATTCGACGATCATCATAAGTTCAGTTGAGCTCTCCCTGAACGATGGGAAAAAGATGTTAATTATGTTATTGTAGGCATGCACAAGTATGAGTAAATTTTCTAAGTAGAGGATTGGTGCAAACTTTTTTCTGCAAAGCTGCCAGAAAATTGTATCAATCAATAATCATAAGGGCAGACGTGAAGAAGTATCTAACAAGTTTATTAACTTGGACTTCTCCAGTCCGTCCACCACTGTTTCCAAAGGCAAGACTCGAATTGTCCCTGTGAGGATTGTGAAAGTTGAGTGGGGAAATAGAGGGCTTTAGCTCCTGGGAGACACTACAAGAAAAATGATTTTTGGTGACAGAAATTTGTGATGAATTTTGAAATCATTACTATAACTTATCACAATTGTGACAGATCTAAAAAATAGTCACAAATACATACATATTTAATGATAAACAAAAAAATTCATCATAAAAAATATATTTCGTAAAAAAAATGTTCATACAGATAAAATAAGTTTTTTTCGATAAAAATCATTACTATAATGCATTACAATTATGACAAAATTTTAATATTGGTCACATATACCTCACACATTCAATGATGACCAAATAATTTATCACTAAAAAATATATTTCATTACTAAAAACTATCAATTTTCTCTAATCAATACATCCCACATCGATAAAAAATATATAAGAGAATAAGGTTTTACACTATAAATATATCCCACATCGATAAGAAATATTTAAGAAAATAAATTTTTGCACTATAAAACATGTGAAACTCAATAAAACT